GTTCTGTCTCAGGGGTAATTTTTCCACGAGTAGTTGTAAATTGGCTGTGTCCACGGGAGGAGGTGAGTTCAGAGTCTGCCTACGCCGCCATCTTGACTCCCAAGCCTCTGATGATAGCCATTCTAACAGGTGTGAGGTGATACCTCATTGTGTTTTTTATTTGCATTTTCTTGATGATTAGTGGTGTTGAGCATCTTTTCTTGTACCTGTTGGACATGTGTATGGCTTCTTTAGAAAAAGGTCTATCCAGATCTTCTGCAAATTTTTTAACCAGATTCTTCATTTTTTGCTATTGAGTTGTATGAATTCTTTATGTATTTTGGCTATTAACTCCTTATCAGATATATGATTTGCCAATATTTTCTCCCATTCAGTAGATTGCCTTTTCATTTTCCAAATTCTTATATATGTGAATAGATACTAAAAGTGGTGAACTGAAGTAATGTATCTTATACTGTAAGTCAATAATAGTAACAGCCATCTGTTACATAGATTCTGCACAATAATTACGGTAGATACTAACTCTTTAAACTAACAGTATATATACTTATTAATCTGTAACTGGTAATGTTCCTAGCACTTTCATCATTTTACTTCATTTAATCTTCACTGCATCAGAGGTCAAACAGTTTTATCCTCTTTTTTGTAGAAAGGACAGGGAAATGGTGGGTAGAGAATAAGCTGGACTCACAGCAGCGGTCCAGCCTTAGTCTGGTCTCTTCGTTGGTGACCCTGGGATATCTAAGGGGCTGATGTTTGGTGCGGACCCCGACCTGCTCCTGTGGATGTGGGGCTGCCCCACACAACCACAGAGCCTCACAGCATGGCCTCATCATACAGAGAAAGGAGGTCCAAACTTTTGCTATGGAATTTCCCTAAATTATGTTTGGCGCTTTCTAAATCTTTCCTATATGGAATATACTTCCCCAGAGTTTTTAAGATCCCAGTTGAATCCTTCAACCAGAGAAGTTGATTCAGTTCTCACTTCTAGAACAAAAAACTCTGGAAATAAGGGGTTTGATTTTTCTTTTTTTCGATTATTTACTTTTTTTGTGTTTGCATAGTGCAGTGATTTTGCAAACTTCTGTACTTTTTTCTTTTGCTGAGGGAGATTTGCCCTGAACTAACATCTGTGCCAATCTTCCCCTATCTTGTATGCGGGCTGCTGCCATAGCATGGCCACTGAGGAGTGGTGTAGGTCCATGCCCAGGAACCAAACCTGGGCTTCTGAAGCAGAGCACACTGAACTCAACCACTAGGTAATGGGGCTGGCCCCAAATTTCTGTACTTTTTTATAGACAAACTACAATCATCAGGAAATCTCATGACCTTGAACTGTGGCATTCTTACTGTAAGTTACTGATTCTTTTGAATGACAGTTGTGAATTCTTAGTTTGTTGTTAAATTTGTTGAACTACAGGTAATTTACAACTCCTACATCTGCAGGTCCATGGAAGCTCCTCCTGTTAGCACAGTTGGGTTGGCATGCATACACACACACACACACACACAAATCACACAGAACACAAGTTCACAAAACATTCATTTCTGGTGATCATATGCCATGAATAATCTGTAAATCTCTAAGCTCTCCTTGGTGATCTAGGTGGAATATCATGGACACCACCACCTGGGCAGCCAACTACACTGGATGGTCAGATTTCTTTCTGGTGGGAGTCTTCAGTCAATCCAAGCACCCAGCTTTCCTTTGTGTGACCATTTTTGTGGTTTTCTTGATGGCTTTGTCTGGAAACACCATCCTGATCCTTCTGATACACTCTGATGCCCACCTCCACACCCCCATGTACTTCTTCATCAGCCAGTTGTCTCTCATGGACATGATGTACATTTCTGTCACTGTGCCCAAAATGCTCATGGACCAGGTCATGGGTGTGAATAAGATCTCAGCCCCTGAATGTGGGATGCAGATGTTTCTCTACTTGACACTAGGAGGTTCAGAATTTTTCCTTCTAGCTGCCATGGCCTATGACCGTTATGTGGCCATCTGCCGTCCACTCCATTATCCAATCCTCATGAACCACAGGGTGTGTCTCCTCTTGGTATCTGGCTGCTGGTTCCTGGGATCTGTGGATGGCTTCATGCTCACACCTGCCACCATGACCTTCCCTTTCTGCAGATCCCGGGAGATCCATCATTACTTCTGTGAGGTCCCTGCTTTAATGAAGCTCTCCTGCTTGGACACCTCCCTCTATGAGACACTCATGTACCTGTGCTGTGTCCTCATGCTCCTCATCCCGGTGACAGCCATTTCAAGCTCCTATTCTTTCATCCTTCTCACCATCTACAAGATGAACTCAGCAGAGGGAAGGAAGAAGGCCTTCACCACCTGTTCTTCTCACATGACTGTGGTCATCCTCTTTTATGGGGCTGCTGTCTACACCTATATGCTCCCCAGCTCCTACCACACACCTGAGAAGGACATGGTGGTATCTGTCTTTTACACCATACTCACTCCTGTTCTAAACCCTTTAATCTATAGTCTTAGGAATAAGGATGTCACAGGGGCTCTAAAGAAAATGTTGAATGTAGCATCTCTCTTTCAAGAAACTAGAAAGTAAGAAATTTGGGTACTAATAATTTGTTTTCCTTCTCTATACACATAAAAAGTTTAGGATCTTATGCCAATGTTATTCCTCAGATTCCCACTATATGATGTGTCATCCCATATTCATCCTTTTTGGAGGCATTGTTTTCCTGTACTGGAAAGCTCTTCACTTTTACACTCCTCTGCATTGAAAATATTTATACAATTGTATCAATGCTACATTTTCTGAAGGTGATAACTGCACGGTTATTCTGTGGAAGAAATTAATATTCTTAGGAAATAGATAATGAAAATATTTAAAGGAAAATGATCATAAGGTGTGCAACGGATGAGTTAGAGAGAGAAAAGTGATGAAGCAAAAGGGCTATAATGCTAATAGATGAATCTAGGTAAAGGGTATATGAGTGTTAATTGTACTGTTACTATTCATGCTACTTTACTGTAAATTTGAAATTACTCCAAGAGTAAAATATCAGACTTTTCTCCCTTTCTTTGAGTTCCTAATTTTCACTTGGTGGCAATGTAAGTGACATATCTTAGAAATCATGCTCATCTTAATGTGGCTGATCATTACTGGGGCAATCCAGTCATTTGCCCATTTTTGTTGAGGGCTACCTTCTTCTTCATGGTCCAACCCTAAAGACCTCTAATGAGTTTTACCTCTCTGAAATTGTTAGTACTGAGTGGTAGATTGAGGACTCAAGAGCACATAAGGTGCTGTGGGAATAATATTAACCCCAGGTGGAAGTAGAATTTAGGGAAGATGCCCTGTGTAAGGTGGTATCTGAGCTGAGATTTGAAGTATGTAACTTTTTTTGCAAACTAGCAGAGGAAGAACATCAAACACTCAATCGTTCTTTTACTCAACAACTATTTCTTATGCTATGTTGTAATAAAAATAACATATAATAACTAAATAAGTTTAAAATCTGAATAACACATCCTACTGTCCTCAAGTAATTTCAGTTGTAGGTGTATTTTGTGCAAATAGTTGTAGTAAAATACATAAATTGTTTTGATGCTCATGTGGAAATGGTATAGCTCGTAAGGACACATCAGTTCTACCTGTGACATGTGAGTTCAGCCAAACAAAGGAGGCTGAGAGAAGACCCTGGAGCTCAGTGTTGAATGATTACTAGATATTACCCTCTGATGAATACAAGAGGCTGGTGCAGGGGGCACATGCTCAGGAATGTGATGCCATGGAAAACGCGCAGCATGAGCAAAGGTCAGATGGTTGACTAAGCAGGAGAGGTAAGTGTTCCAATGGCTTCTCCTTTACTGATTCACTTTATAGCATGATTTCTTGCCTTACTTAGGGTTTTACAAGCAGTAGTGAAATGATTATACTTGCATTTGAGAAATGTTACATCTCCAAATGCAATTGGAGAAGTGAAAAATTGGAGGTGAGGAGACCAGGTGAGTGAAGACAGTAAACTGAGTGGTGTTGATCTAAGCAGAATGGACCATAGCTTAATGCCAGCAGGGACTAGGGTACGGTATTTGGGGTAAGCAGTACTTTGTTGAATGTGATACATAAAACCACAAACTTAGATGCACATCTACAAATTTCCAATTGGCTGTGAGAACCTGTGAACTAACAGGTGGTTTTAACAGTACAGATTCCATTTTCCTCTTGACACTCAATTACTTCATGACTGCAAAATAAGGATCTTGGGATTTTGGGAAGCAACATTGGAAAACCAGTTTATAATAGTTTTGTGCAGTCAAACAGAATGAATACAAGGTGTGCTCTCTTTAACAGTTAAAGGGGTTGAGAAGTGTATGTATTATGCCTCAATTTGCTGGACCATAATTATACACACATTTGATGACTCTAATTACAACATCCTAGACATGGGGAACAAAACAATAAAATGTGATGTGGAACCACATTCTTCCAAAGATGACTTTTTTACTCTGTCAAGCAGAAAAAAAAAATTACATAGAAATGTTTTTAGAACAACGAATTATTTTTTAATTAAAGTTTTCAAAATACAACTTTCCATAGCCTCTACTAATAAGGATTCATAAGAACTGTGCAGTTGGGAATTTCTTCTTCAAATTACATATGGTATATAACACTCAGAATTCCTGGATGTTGAGGAACAATTGCTGCTCCGCATTTCTTCTTTCCAGAACGAGCAGAACACATGTCAGAGTTTCTGGCACTCAGTGTACTTGCCTACATGCCGAATAAGTAGCTGTGAATGGAAGTGGTCTAAACTCTTCAAACTTCAAGATGTTTTCGTGTGTTTGTCCTCATGATGCCATCAGCATTTGGTCAAACAAATCGCTTCCACCCCATAAAAAAAGCTCTCTGGGTTTCCACATCCTCCAAAGGACATTAAGAACTATGACTAGAATTCTTACCAAATTTAGGGGCAAAACAACATGGGTTAGGTGGAGAAGGTTGCATTCTTTTTCACAAATATTCTGCTCTTCAAAATGTGTTCAAAAGTTTGACAAAACAGGAGGAGCAAATTAATTTTTCTGGGGAAGACTCAGGTAATGAGGCTTAATAAACAAAATTAGATGCATTGGAATTCACATTTAACATAATTTTGATTGCCTGTTTTCTCTCTTAGGATATTATTTTATGACCAAATGGTCTCTGTATCTGTTGGAAACAAAGTTCAGAAAATGTAAACCTCTAATGTTGTGGCTAGGAACTCTGGAGCTGTGTAACTCAAACATTTTTTTTAGTGAGAAAATCAACTATTTATCTGCAACATGCTATTTTAACTCAGCAATCTAACTTCAGTGTCTTAGCAGTTCAATGCATAGAGACTGGGTTATATTTCATATGTAGGATAGATATGTTATTAATTTTAAAATAAATTGTTTATTAATAATAATAATAAATTAATGATAAATCATCTATTAATAAACTTATAATCATTTTATTATTAAATAATGAATGTCTTGTACACACATTTTTCTTCACATATATGTTTATTTTTGAAAGAGAGAATCCCAGAAGGGGATTATTGTTCAAATGATCAATGAATTTTATTCAACGTGCTAATTTTTATAGAATAAAATTCTAGACTAATTTAGCTCCCATCACCCATGAATAAAGAGGACCAGTTTCTCATACTCCCATTGTGTTCTATCCTCCCCCTCAGGTGTGTCTGCTGTTCCAAGTCAGCTCTGTGACCAGCGGGGGCTACTTGTCCCTCTGCCTTCCGGGTGGTTTGGTCATTGAGACACCTCGGAGGGTGACTGGAAGGTAGGGGCACACCGAGGTCTGGGTATTTGTTCCCTCAGCAGGTCTCTGCCAGGCTGAGACTGGCAGTGGCCAAATTCCCAAACCTGGGACCCAGCTCTCCGTAGTGTTGTCTTCCCTGCAGCTTCTGCTGCTGTGATTCCTGGAAACTGCTGCTTCTCCTGCTGCCTGTCGGGACAAGGCTGAAGAGAGCTTCCCCTTGCGGGTGCCTTTGGGTCATTCTCCATTCCCTGACAAAAATCCCAGCCCACACTCTCCCCTTTTCTACCTCAATTCTGATGTCATCATTATTGACTACACTCTGCAGACTTTTTCCAATACTATTATTGATTTCATCTAGATTAAATATCTGTTTTTCACTTCTCTAATTTTGATTTGACATCTTTTCATAAGTTCATTGTCCTATATCATTTCTTATGCTCCAAATGAGTCTTCAATAGCTTTGTTTATTTTTTGACTGGATAGTTTGCTACCTGATTTGTTTGCCTCTTATATATTACTAATATTAATCCTTTGTTATATGCATTGTGCTTTTCTACTAGTGAGACGCAACTTATGTTTAACGTTTCCTTGTTATACAGATTTTTTTAATTTTTATATTTTTTTGATTTGTATTAGTTTTTTTTTAATTTTTTGTTTATTTCAGTAACATTGGTTTATAACATTGTATAAATTTCAGGTGTACATCATTATACTTCTATTTCTGCATAGATTACATCATGTTCACCACCAAAATACTAATTACAACCCATCACCACACACATGTGCCGAATTATCCCTTTCACCCTCCTCCCTCCCCCCTTCCCCTCTGGTAACCACCAATCCAATCTCTGTCTGTATGTATTTGTTTATTGTTTTTTTTTAAATATAGTCAAATATGTCACTTATTCGCTTTCTGGTTTGGGATGTCATATCTTGTTTAGAAAGGCCTTCCTGGTCCCCGATACCTTTCTCTTAACCAGAATTGCCTCCTGTGCTGTTTTTTAGTACATTCTCCTATATTTATGTGTAGATCATTAATCTGCATGCATTTATTTCTAGTATACTGTGACATGCACATCAAATTTTATTAATTATTGATATAAAATTCACGTAAAAATTACTATTTGAACCATTTTAAAGTGTACAATAAAATGTTTTTTAGTATATTCACAATGTTGTCAATCATCACTAACATCCAATTCCAGAAAGAGATAAAGAAACAGAGATAGAGAAAGGGATGGCTGGGTGGGAAGGAATTGGTCTACATGATTGTGGAGTCTAGAAAGTCTGGCATTTGTAGGGCAGACAGCCAGGCTGGAAGTTCAGGTAGTAATTGATGTGTTCTTGAGTCTCAATTCTGTAGGACAGGCCAGCAGGGGGGAAACTAGGCAGCATTTCTGTTACAGTTTTGATGCTGAATTCCTTCTTCTGTGGGAAACCTCAGTTTTGCTCTCAAGGCCTTCACTTGATATAAGACCCACTCACATCATGGAAGATAATCTGCTTTATCCACAGTTGGCTGATTTGATTTTTATTTTTTGATTTTAAATAACCACAGTTCAATATATTAAATGGACAAATTTGCAACCTTAATTCTCTCTTAAACTTTTAAGTCTGCATATAAATCTTTTTGTGTCTAGATTGAGCAGGTTTTAGCAACCACTTCTAAGAGGTCTTTGATAATTTTGTTCTGTTTCTAAATGTGGCTAATTAAACACGTGTCAAACAATTTATAACTTTAATGTTTTGAGTGAGCGGCTTCTCTTGGAGGGAGAGTGAGTAGAAGCACCTGGAGGGAGGCTTCTGGGGTTTGAGTAGTTCTAGGGTTCTTGATCTGGT